CCACCAGGAAGCACAACAGGAACTGGTACACTCTCTGTTCCATGAAGGGGAGAAGCACGATTCCCAGAACAGCCAAGAGGCTGATGACAGTCACAGCCAAGATTCCATATCCCCAGACTGTATGGACAGATCAAACAAGTTAGTCTAATGTCTACAGAAAATGTATCAAACAAGAGGCTAACAACATTTTGGGAAAGTGAGTATGTACATGTGTAAAGGGTTGACTTACATAATGCATACAACTTTCTATTGGAGCCTCTGGTAGTTGTTACACACACTTTTTATGGCTTCACCACAAAGTGGTGAAGACATATTGTGTTCCCTCATGTTTCTCCTCCTGTGTAAAATAGGGCTTTTTGGCTATTTTGGACAAAAAATGTACATTTTTGGCTGTTGTGCCCTAATATTAAATCCAAATGATCTGAAATTCGGTATGGGGATACCTTGGACACATGTCCAAAGAATGTCATTCACGATTTTGACTTACACCACTTTAAAATTATGTAAAATATGGCTTTTTGGCTATTTCCGGCATTGGAAGATTCCATTGCTGCATGGGGGTATAGACTATTGGCAACCATTGTGGGATAGATCCATTTTCGGTATGGGGGATGTGGTGAAGCCATCTGCTGCATTTGCTCCCAAGCAAATGTCGGCCTTTCTAGTTTCTATTTTATTTTGTCAAACTCAAAGTCATCTTCACACGTACAAGTTGAAGTATCCCTCATGTCATAAAAAATAAGCTGACAGATTGTACAAACTAATCATTAGGAATTCCTGGTCTCTATTACGATTTGGGTGGACTTTCTTTATATGGAACTGTTGAGGTTTCCCTGCCACTCGGCTCAACTTAGCTTATAGGCTAAGTTGAGCCCAGTAGGAGGTTCAGATTCAGTAGAAGTTTTGCACAGAACGGTGCACACACCAGTTCTTCCGCGACAGGGGTCCACTATAGTGCCCGGAAAAAAAGGGACGAAGGGGTTCCGATGGTTCATGTTTGAGTTTACATTTCTCATAATCTGCTGCAAAATGGGATTAGCTACTAACATGGCTGAAAAGTGTAAGAAGTGGCGTGTTTTGGGTGAAAATTGATTTCGGGCCCGAGGCTTACTTCCGGGTGTCCTTCCGCCCTGAGCGCGGTGCTTCGGTTTGACCTAGTTTTGCCTTGTATGCGTTCTGGGGGTGCTGTAGCTATGCCTCGCGCGACGCGCTATTGTGATAATCTCAGTGTTAGGATTTTCTTTATACTTTTCTTAATAATACATAAGGGTTTTCTCTTTCCGACCATATAAGTCATATCGCTGGCTAAAATCTGGGTGATGGGTTTAATTCCACGTGAAAATGGCCAATTTTTGGCATCATTTTTCATCGAAAAATTCTTTTTTCCCCTAAAATTTACTAAAATGTGAGAGGGAAAAGAAATTGAAATTCTATTGTTCTCGTAGCTAGAGGGATATCCTTCATTTGAAAACAGAGTGTTTTGGCTTAAGAGGTATTCCTGAAAGAGACGGTCGCTAGAGTTGAGGGTATGCAGAATCGAATTGAGACCCAAAATAAACTGGGGTGTGCCCCCTTAATCCAACCCATCCTGCAAACATTTGTGGCCGTGAAAGCCGGAGAATTGTTTTTTCCCAGTAAAGTGCGTACCCCACGTCCAACCATAGCAAAAATAATTCGGATATCGCAAGTTTTAAAATATTTATATAATGTCATAAAATGAGTTGATTTGCCCCCCTCCCCACGCCCCCCCCCCCCGAACACAGTCACAAGGCCTTCGAAGTGTGTATGCTAAACATTACTGACGTCATATTAACCATAATATAGTTTTTATGTACTGGTCTGCATCAGATGCACCTGGAAATTGCATTTGTACGATTGAAAGCGACTCCCGCATTGAGAAGGAGACTGTTTTCTAGTAAAAAGGGCCTCTGATGACGTCACTCTTGGCTTTCCTCCCGAATCAAGTTTCCAGTTCGTGCTCGAACTAGTTTTGAATGTTCAGACAAATAAGTTGCACTATTGAGAAGACACAATCTAAGGCTTTTATATCTCACCGAGACCGACACCCAAGTGTACAGCCTTCTCTCAGTAAATGCCCATTTATACCTCCGTAGTCGCCAGAAGTACGGACCAGGTCTCCGTTTCTACCAATGATTCAACATTTAGCTGGGTTTTCCTGCACAACAAACTATATCTCGGGAGCGGACAAGCTTGGACAGGAATGCCAGGTTTATTCTCTACCAGCTATGACTGAAAATAGCAATTTTATCTGCTTTCCGTTGAAGCGCCGAACTTAAAACGCAATCGTTCTCACTTGGAACGATCAGCCAGAGGCGGGCATTGTGACGTCACCAGCTCAAATACGTTCTAGGCGGTTTATACCATCTATACCAGCCAGAAATGGACGGAAAGTCAACTCTTGCGCAAGAGCATCCCTGTACCTATCTTTTCCATGGCAAGACTTGTTCATTGAGCTTGAATTAATAACAAAAACCGCTTCGAGAGGATGCGATCATTGTGACGTCAGATTCATTATGTGCACTGAATGGTAAACATGGCGGGAGGCGCAAAATCAGCCTTCGGGGGCGGTAACTTTCAACCACCTGTTACTCAAGAAGGAAATACCGCCCACAACCCAAACTTGGCATAATGCATAGAGCAAAACTTCTTCTACCCAAAGACAATATTAATTAAGATTTTGATTAATTAACGGTGCACACACCAGTTCTTCCGCGACAGGGGTCCACTATAGTGCCCGGAAAAAAAGGGACGAAGGGGTTCCGATGGTTCATGTTTGAGTTTACATTTCTCATAATCTGCTGCAAAATGGGATTAGCTACTAACATGGCTGAAAAGTGTAAGAAGTGGCGTGTTTTGGGTGAAAATTGATTTCGGGCCCGAGGCTTACTTCCGGGTGTCCTTCCGCCCTGAGCGCGGTGCTTCGGTTTGACCTAGTTTTGCCTTGTATGCGTTCTGGGGGTGCTGTAGCTATGCCTCGCGCGACGCGCTATTGTGATAATCTCAGTGTTAGGATTTTCTTTATACTTTTCTTAATAATACATAAGGGTTTTCTCTTTCCGACCATATAAGTCATATCGCTGGCTAAAATCTGGGTGATGGGTTTAATTCCACGTGAAAATGGCCAATTTTTGGCATCATTTTTCATCGAAAAATTCTTTTTTCCCCTAAAATTTACTAAAATGTGAGAGGGAAAAGAAATTGAAATTCTATTGTTCTCGTAGCTAGAGGGATATCCTTCATTTGAAAACAGAGTGTTTTGGCTTAAGAGGTATTCCTGAAGAGACGGTCGCTAGAGTTGAGGGTATGCAGAATCGAATTGAGACCCAAAATAAACTGGGGTGTGCCCCAGAAGGATTTAAGTTAGCAACAGCCCAAAGAGAGCCTGCCAAACCACAACAGACAATAGGCTAAATATCCTGACAGTCAGTCTACACCAACTTTACCACGTCATTGTGAAGAGACACTGCTGTTACCTGCTGCTGGCATCTCTGTCCCCTTGTGCTCCTCATGTTCACTGTGATCATGCGAATCCTCTTCATGTACCATACAGGCCTGTTCATCGATCTGTGTGATGAGCAGTGGGCAGATGTTCATGAAGTCTGGCATGGTCATGACCTTCATGCCTGGTGGGATGTTGTACTCTACCAGGATCTCCGCTGCAGACAGGCACTGGAGAAAAAGAAATGATATTACATAAAATACAGTCAAACTCCCTCAGCAACTATAAGCTGACTATCGGGTCATGACAATCGCTTTTTCCCCATAGACGCAAGAATTAGTAAGCAACTTGCTCAAGCCTCCCACTCATCTATAATGTACCCACAACCAGCATGATTTGGGGCCATGAATGGTCCCTGCTTCAGATGACTGTGCATGTGTTATTTTCAGTGTGCAGCGATATTGATTATTGATGATTACAAGCGAGACATTATGGTAAAATTGGCTAATACTTTGAGTAAATCTGTATCTATGTTTTATCTTGTTGATGTGCTTGTGTAAGATGACCACTTGTCTAAGAAGACTAGATTCTATAATGTTAATGTCTATTGGTCGTCTTAGAAAAGTTTGACTTTGACTCTTAAACATGATAGGGAATTTCAGAATGTATCTTTTACCAATAATTATTTAATTATGTTTGACTTTGAAGCACTTGTATGTGAGACTGAAGGTTGGCTTACATGGGCACCTGGCTCATGGTCATGATGATCATGGTCTTCATTGTTGTGGTCATGCAGATGGTCATCATGGTCATCTTTTCCATGGTCATGGGATTTATGATTATGGTTATCATGATCGTTATCTCCGTGTTCATGATCTCCATCATCATGGTCATGATCATCATGTTCATGATCTTCATGTTCAGGGTCCCCATGTTCATGGTCATGATCATCATGTTCATGGTCTCCATGGTCTTGCTCTCCATGTTCATGGTCATGATCTTCATGTTCATGATCCCTATGTTCATGGTCATGATCATCATGTTCATGGTCTCCATGGTCAAGGTCATGATCATCATGTTCATGATCTCCATGTTCATGGTCAAGATCTCCATGGTCGTGATCTTCATGTTCATGGTCATGATCTCCATGGTCGTGATCTTCATGTTCATGGTCATCTTTCTGTTCATGGTCATGATCTCCATGTTCATGATCATGATCCTCAAGTCCATGTTCCTGCTCCTCTTCATGGTCGTCATGATCGTGACCATCGTGGTGTTCATCCTCTTCTCTGCCTGTCTGCCTGCCTACACGCCTGCGGTCCCTTCTGAGCGTCTCTGTTGTGATCTCCAAAAGGTCTACACTAGTACTACTGGTCGTTGGCACTACCTTGGACTTCCTCCCCCTCTGCCTCTGTCGCCTCTTCCCTTTTCTTCTCTGCCTCCTGCTACTGCTGTGCCTCCCCGGTCTGGGCGAGGGTGCTTCCTGCACGGCAGCAGGCACGGGAACTGGTGTTGTGGTTGGACTCTGTGGAACCTGCTTTATTGTCTGTGTTGGCTCCTCATGGGCATGGTCATGATCATGATCACTGTGTGCTTCCCCAGACATTGCACTTTCATGGGAGTCCTGATCATGCGAGTGATCTGAATGGTCCTGATTCTGATGACCGGTACCACTTTCCTCACGATGGTCATGCCCATCATGATCAGAATGACCACCATCTAAATTATCATTGTGCGGATAATGCACATGATCAGTGTCTCCAAATGTGTCCACAACCGACACAGTGTCAGTACTACTATTCCTGCCTTCTTTGTGATCAATGATCATCGCTTCATGGTGCACGATCCTCACCTCACCAAGTCCCAATCTGTCCAGGAGCTCCTGGAAACCTTCAAAGGTCATCTTCCCGTCCTTGCCATACTTATTGAATAGCTTCTGTAAGACTTCGTTGTTCTTGAGGGACTCGAGATACGGGTCCTTGGCGGTGACGGAGACTGGGTCGAAGCCATCGTGGGCCACGGCCTCCGCCTGATGGAACAGTCCAAACGTCAGCAAGCAGAGGAAGCAGACACAGTGGAGGGGAGCTCTGTTCATGGCTACAATCACGCTGAAAACAAGGGAGGAGTTCATTAGAATCAGGGAACATGAAGCCTATTTAGCATATTGGTATAATGCATAGTAATTTCCGATGTGAAAACCTGGATTTTTCACGGTTTTCATCGGCTTTAATGTTGCATCAGAACTTTGGCCATTGCAGATGTCACAATATCAATTCTGACACAATTGCAACATTAGACAACTATACTAGTACTCTCATGTCCCGAATAAACATACCCCCCGGAATAAACATACCCCCCGGACAAATCCTCAAAGTCTAATAAACATACCCTCCGGAATAAACGTACCCCCCGGAAAATGAACAAATTGACAGGTGAACTGTGTGTGCATGATACTAAAATGTGCTCATTATTTCAATACCAATATATGGGCAAATCTTTCACTGTTACGTTTAATTAGTAAGCATATATTACTTTAATTAATGAGTATATATATATATATATATATATACTGTACTTGTTTGGGGGAAATACAAAATCTGTAGGAGAAGCTGTTGCATTTTACACTTCTGAAATGCACTTTGTAGCCTTCTCCTGCAACTTGAGTTAAAAATCTGACTAACTTGAGAGATTCAAGCCCAATTAAGTACAAATATAGGGGTTTAATGAGTATATGTACAACAAAATCCATTTCAACATAATAATTATTTGGCATGGTACAGTGTCTAGTCTGGTCAAAGTCTGGATTCTGAAGAAAAAAAACTTTTGAAGAGAAAAAAAAACTTCTGAAGAAAAAAACTTTTGAAGAAAAAAATATTATTCAGCATAAAATTTTGATTGGTTTCCATCTCAATGTTTTCCTAAAAATCGATAAATGTGATTGTATCAATTTTAAACGCCCTAAAATGAGCTAAATCGGCGCTTTTACGGTGATTGCGCAATATGGGTGCCCTAGGACCTTTGACTTTTTACGGGTCATGCAGCTCAGACGCTAGGTGCCCTCCCCACGTCGGCCGTCCGTCTTGAGGGCAAATTTCTACTTTTGGGGGGTTTCGGGACCTAAAAACTAACACCAGGGGAAAAATAAACCACATACGTTATTTTCATGATAAATATCGCTAAAATGGACCAGGCATTATTCTGCCGCGTTGCTGATTTTGAGAGGAACTTGCGGCCGCCATGTGCTAAATACGTCGATTAGCTACTTGAAGTTCCCCTTCGGTTTTGTGGGCAAATTTTTGATTTTTCAGACGTTTTGGGACTTAAAAATGGACAGCAGGCGAAAAATAGATAATATACATTATATTCATGGGAAATGCCGCTATCATGGACCAGACATTTATCTGTGACCGAATTTTGCGGCCGCCGGCCACTTGCTGATGGTGCGGTACGTACGGACAATTTTTTTTCCAAAACCGATTTTCCAAAAATTAATAAACGTACCGTCCCTGATAAGAATGTACCGGGTGGACGTTCGGGACCGAAAAAATAAACGTACCGGTACGTTTATACGGGACATGAGAGTAGATGGGAATAATCGTCATCATTAGCCCTTGTCCTGCTGGCATTCCTGGCACAACATTTTTTAATAATTTCATGTCTTATTTTAATTAGATCATAGACCCTCAATTTTTTTTGCTCTGCAGTGGCATAGTCATCACTTCCGCATTCATTGCGTTTCGCTGCAATGTGATGCGTTGCACGAGAAATACCCCCCAAATCGTACCTGTACAGGGACATAGATGGTACTGTATGTGCATAACAACAATTGTTGTGCTCTGCAGGACAAGGGTTAAATAAGGGAAATTTTATGACCATAATTGAGATGTTCTGCACAATAAATTACAGGTGCAGTATAATGTTCTGAGTTCAAAATACTAAAATCTTACATCACCAGGGAGAAAACTGCAGTTGCTTACTAGTATGGGACTAAATGGAATTTAAAAAAAAGCAGAATAGACAAAGATTTCTTACTAACTCATTTCTTCTCTGTACCATCAGATTCAGACTTACTAAAACTACTAGAGTTCCACGATCTCATACCTTCGCCAAATGATGTTAGCCTTTATGAATAAGAAATATACTAATCACCCTGATTATGCAAATAGGATCCTCAATTGCATGAATTATATCAGTCTGTTGATCATATTCTACACCAAAAGACAGTCTTATCTTATCTTAAGAATGAATGCATTTCCTCATAAATTATGCAGATGTGGTCCTTATTTGAATAAGTTATGTTTAATTATGTTCACCTTCACTTAACTTTCAAACACCCCAAGTATGAAATTCCAGGCAGTTACCACTATGCAATTATAACATTTTCTCATTAATTATGCAAATTAAGTCTTCATTTGCATAATCAATATTTGCCTGTGTTTCTCTCGTTCTTAATAACATATGTTACAAGCTTGAACTTCCTATCATGGAATGCAGCTGATTTATAGAATTTCCTCATTATTTATGCAAATTACATCAATATTTGCATAATTGTAATATCATTATGTCAAGCATCACTTAAGCTACCTACATACCGAAAATCACGATGATCCATCAATCGGTTCTTGAGCTATCCTCTTTTAAACATTTGTCCTTTAAACCCCCTGCAGTTCTAGAGCAAGCAACTAGGGGGCTCAAACTCATGTCACTTCATCCCCAGCACAAGAGCTATCTACCACCTAAATTTGGTTACCCTAGCATGTCTGAATCTTGAGATATCAAAACCGGAAGTTCTGCTGCAGTACCATAACAAGCCGCCAGGTGGCCCAAAATCTAATCATTTTGAGGTCTCATCAAGACCTACCCACCTACCAAATATCAAGTCAGTCCATTTAAGCCTTCTCAAGTTATCGTGTTTACAGACAGACAGACACACACACACACACACACGAACGCCTCTGAAAACATAACCTTCTTGGCGAATTAAGGTAAAAACTTAAAGAGGAAAAATATCACCCCTGTCCCTAATAGTACAATAACCTTCTTTCTCTGTCTAAGTCTAACACATATATAAAATGTCATATACACATACAACAATTGTCTGTGACAAACTCAGGCATTGTCCTATCATATTCATAGTCATACACATAAAGTTGAGGCAACTGTAGTGTGACTGCTGAGGGACGTGGATGACAGCAAAGAGTAACAATATATAGACATTAGTGTACATGTACATGCATGTGTTCACATGTTAAAGGTCAGTGCTTGGTACACTGATTTTCTGGTATTTCAGACCTGTAACAAAACCATGTTACTTGTAATGCTCAGGTCACATTTTCAACTGGGGCCCAGCCGGGTTTTCAAGCTACAATCGCTATTTTTACTCAAAACTAGGTAAATAAAAAAAGTATTTTAAAGGGCTAAATCTGAATAGTGAACACTATTATCTAAGCATTTGATGCCAAGCTAGCCTTATGCTGAATTTCAGGTCATTTGGTTTTCGTTGTAGTGCACAGGAGCCAAAATGTACATTTTCACCGGAAATAGCCAAAAAGCCCTATTTTTAAGTGGTGCATGTCAAAAGTGTGGCTGATATTCTTTGGACATGTGTCCAAGGTATCCCCAGCTGATTTCAGGTCATTCGGATTTAATAATAAGGCACAGGCCCCCGAAATGTACATTTTTTGTCCGAAAATACCCAAAAGCCCTATTTTACACAATTTTAAAGTAGTGTATGTCAAATGTGTCCAAGGTATCCTCATACCAAATTTCAAGTCATTTGGATTTAATACCAGGGCTCTAGATCCCAAAATGTATATTTCTTGCCTGCAAATAGCAAAAAAAAAATTTAAAGGCTGTATCCAGAAAATGAAAAAAAAAACATCATGCCAAGTTTAATGTTAATTGGATGGCGGGAGAAGAAGAAGAAGGAGAAACATGAGGGAAAACAATATGTTTCACCACACCACTCAAAGCCATAACATTATTTTAAAAGCCTTTATCCAGAAAATGAAGAAAGAAACGCCACTCTACCTTCATGCCAAATCTTATGTTATTTAGCCCAAAAATGAAGAAATTCAATCCATTCAACGAAATGGCAGGAGGAGAAGGAGAAACACAAGGGAAAACAATAAATATGTTTCATACATGGTGTTGTGAAGCCATAATCATCACCAATTACCGGTGGCAAATTGTATAACTTTACTATGGCATTATCAGAATCTTAACACTGAACATTTATTTTATTTTGTTCAAAGAATTCAACTTCTTGTTTATTTACTTTTTTGTATCAGCAATTCAGAGGCTTGCAACGGCTAGGATGAAATCAAATCACATTAACATTCTAACTTTGAATTTCATACTGGTTTATGAGCCATATTTTGCTGAGATCAGACAGAAAGATAGCTTGGTTGCCAGCATTTGGAACTTTTTAAGTCTGCTTAGCTACTGACCACTACACAGCCAACACTATAGCTACACTGTAGGCGACTGCTTCCTTGGCACAGAGTGGACTATTAAGCTAACAAGCCTGGCAGCCAAACTAGCCCTAATAGAGCCCCGTCACTCATAAGTCACCTAGTGTACACTTTAAAGGGCCCAATAAAGCCCTGAATAGCAAGTGTTTGTTGACTCTATTTGTAGTTCCGCAACAAACTGGGCCTTATTCATACACATGTGTATTACCTGTTCCCTTTTTGTATATATGACCCGGGCCCTTTCGGTAATTACAAACCCCTTGTAAGTCTCTCGGTAGACAATGAGAAAACCTAACAAGTAGTCTTAGTCATGAAGTTTTCTATTTTGCAGATTGGGAACGGTAAAGCGAAGTAAATGGTACCTGCCCGATCGGCGGTTCAATTGCAACAAAGACGGGCCACCCTTCGCGCCAAGCGAGAACATTTCAACAACAGTATAGGGGTGTTTCTGAAATATGCATTTACTTTAATAATATGAAAATTGCTACGGTAAAAAGAAAAAAAAACGAACATAATGGCACACCACATGCCCAATTACAGAGAAATACAAAGGAGAGAACCATGACTTTTAGCTGCAAACATATTTAAAAAGGGCCTACAACACATTGTGGTGACTCAACAACCAACCCCCACTCCCCTGCTATTAAAAAAAACATGTTTTTTGCAGCCAGTCCGGATCCCAAATGCCCATTAAATGTAGGGGTGCTTCTGAAATATTACGTTGACCACGAAAACAGCTAGGGTAAAAATAAAAATACGGGCATCATCACAAACGACATGTAAAATTACATGCCAATTAAACATAAGGGGACCGTGTAATTAAAGGCAAAAAACTGACCACAAAACTCCGGCAGGAGGAAAGCTTTGTCCAACAAATTTCCTTTATTGTCATGTTAATGTAACAGGTTAATCACTGTGTTAGACAGTCTGGGACCACGTGGTGAGAGCACGTGACCCAGACGCCGCCGCGTCATCGGTCAAAGCCTGACCACGCCTCTGCCATGCAGATGTCGCCCTGCCTTTCCGCATGAGGTATAAAATAGCGGGACACGCCCTAGAACAAGGTTCTTTGCCTCTCCGACGCTCCGTTCCAGCACACCGGTTTAGGTTTACTTAGTGAGTAGTTTAGTCTGCAACACACTCAACAGGTAATTGGTTTCCGTTCTCCTACTTGGTTGCCTACTTTTAGTATTACTTTTAGTATTGTGTTTAACTCTGTAACGTTAACTGTATATCCATTGTATGTTCCATTGCTTTGTGCCGTATACTGCAGTTAGACAATAAAGTCATATCAAATATAAATCGACCCGGCTTTGGCATTACTTAGAGCAAGAGTCTAAGTTAACTATATATAACGTTATAGCTACATGTAGTTCCTTAGAGTGAGAGTCTAAGGTACCGTAAGATCTGTAACCGTAGTTGTAAGCGTAAGGCCACACCACCTTAATTTTATGGATGACATCCGCGCGCGCATTGATTCTCGCCTGTCCTCAAAAAAGAAAAAGAAAGATCATGTCCTCCGAGGCTCTGGCCTGGCTCTAGGCCTGGGTAGTCCTTGGTAGTTAGGAAGCCAGCAGTAGTATGGAGGACGGCACCCAGGCTGCCAAAGCTCCACGACTCAACAACTCAGTACAATTACAGTGCCGATTCATAAACTCTGCAAAAGCCAGCATGTACCGGTTTGTTGCTATGCACTGACGCAAATTCACAATATCAGCTTTGTATTCCTGTGGTTTAGTAGCATTTTTATTTTTGGCCGGACTTTTTTTCTATTCGCCCGCGCGCACTAGTCTGGGGGTCTTCAGAGGATGTCATCCATATTAATTAAGACGGTGTGGCCTAAGTTAGCCCAAATCCTACCACACACAGAAAGACCAGAAAGAGTTTGTTACATTGACAAAAGGTGTTAGTCCATTTTTCATGACTTTATGTTGAATTTTTTCCTGACATGATATCGTCAAGTTAGCCAGGTGCACCCAGCCTGGCATACATAAAATTTTTTCCCAGGCCAGCTCCTCCTGGGCTGGGCCAACGTGGTCCCCATGGAAACTTTACCAAAATAGCACCAGAGTTGTGATGAATTACCAAGACCTGGAGCCGAGAAGCTGGCATGGCCCGTGTACAGTACAGTTTTCGTGTACAGTTTTGTTGCCGATTCCTTTACGTGCTCCTACCCGGCGTTTGATCATGGCCACCCGACGCGACGGTCTAGAACAAGGCCGGATGTCGCCATGGCTCACACCAGGCACATAATTTTGCCGAGAATGTTCAACAGAAAAATGCAGCATCATCATGGACTAACATCGATTTTCTTTCACATCAATACACGATAAGTGCCATCTTCACTTGTCACTTACACCTCAGTTGGTTCGTATTATTAAACCTCTGGCGCGAAACGCCTACATACTCATGTATTCTGTTGGGAAATTATATCCCGCTCTGCAAGTTTGATGCAAATAAAGGCTCGGCTCAACTACAATAGCTGTTAGGTCACTGCGGCATTTTCCCGTTGGTTTTGCCTTTAAAGTTAAAACGTAAGACTGTCGTCGATTGGGGAACCAAAAGATGTCAAAAATCTAACTCACCACTTTCGGGACACTTTGTGCCTTTTTAGGCTGTCCCCGGCTTCAAACCTCCCTCCCGGGTAAGAGACGTGTGCAATTTTCCACACGGCACGTTCTCTCTCCCTCTTCCAACATGGCGGAAATGACTCATGCTAAACCTACTTCAACATTTGTTTCACGATTCAAATTGAGCGAATATCTACTTAAATGACAAAATTTTTGAGAAAAATATATCTCACAGCACATAAAAAGAATCATTGTCTATAGTTTTGGTATGTATGACCGTACTTACTTTGGTATGGGTGAAGATGTCGGTAGATTCAAGGAAGCGAACAAACTGCTATGCTTACAGACCGCGACCAAGGGTATGCAAATAAACAACCTTATTTGGCAGACGTCAAAATGACGTCAATGTAATCACGTGACGGTTGGCATCCCGGGACCTTGGCACGTATTTCTACTGCGCAGGATGTTTGTGACGTCTGTCATCTGCAGAGATTTATCTAGACATCAAACCGCACAGATCGAAATAGGAAATGAACAAAATAATGTTTTCTTTCCAATAAAATTGTATATAGTCATATATTTTCTATATTTTCTGTATCCTTTTGGGACGTCTCTCCTTCGAAGAAATGTTATAAATAACAGGCTAATGACTCAGGGGAGGGACCTCACCCGTTACCTCACCAGTCCCATAGCAGTCAGGGGACTGCCGTCAATATTATGGGCCACATGCACGGTATCTCACACGGATTTATAAACAAAAGGATGGCGCAATTCACAACTGTCACGACAAGGTACTGAGGGGATGTGATGTAGTTTTTGACCATATTTAGTTCAGTGGCACATTGCCACATTTAGTCATATTTGTTTTGTTTTATGGCTACGTACTTGCAATCCAATATGCGGAATAAACACAATTCTATTAGGCACTGATAAGCTTCAATCAACCACAAAGTTAGCCTGTTTCGCAGACTTGTCGGGCGCGGCGTATTTTTTTTCCGTGAGCGACGCGAGTTACTGGTAGTAGTATGCGGCGGACGGACGATTTTGCTGCCGAGAGTTTTGCCGGGGAGAGACGGTTTCGCTGCCCAGGGCACCACAAAATAACTGCCATACATACGTAGGGACCATCTTAGAAGAAACATTCCCACGGAATTAGGACTTTCCAGGGACATTTCAAAAGCGCAGAGCAAATATAAATTGGGATTTTCCTAAATATAACAAGTGTCAATAGGCAACAATTCTAGAGATCTCCGTGAAGTTTTGCATTTTGTAAATACACGTACATACGTTCAACATCATGACAATCTAAACAGAAGACAAAGTCATCTTTGATAGAAATATCTTTCATTTGCTACATATTATCTATTTGACAAGTGTCAGGAATGAGCCGACTATAATTCCAAAGAACTTCTTCAAAGGCAATCCCAGGCTCCAAAGGGGGCGGGGCGTGTAGATTGAGATTTAAATATTTAGCAAACTCAACATACCGTGGTGGGGATATTGACCAACGAATTCCCGCCTTTGAAATTCTTTATGTTCGAGCAATCATTGAACACAATTCTCTTGTAGATTGAGTGAACAGTAAATGTTTTGATGTAACACAGGGAAAGTGGAAAATTAATGACGCGTCACTCATGTTGCGAGACTTGTTATCGGTGAGTTCACAGTTGTGCATTTTGCTTCTGTGAGCACACAGTTACGGGTTACGGGCTTGAACCACGTCTACAAATAGAACTCTCACGCCGCTTCGGAAAGTGCCAACAAACAAAGCAAGAAAGGTTTGTCTTTTTTAAGACGGAGAACGACGGTGAATATCTTCAGCAGTTTCGCGACCTACATAGCATGGAATTTCCCCAGACCGAAGAAACAGTGTGTTACTGAAGTCAAGAAATAAAGCCAGCTGGCCAACGCGTTTTCTGGATTCCTTGTATTGAAAGTGAAGCCAGCAAAGAAAGCAAAAAAAGCTTAACGCTATCAACTCAGGTCCCAGGGCCCTTGTCTCTACCATGTACCATGCTCCAGAGGCGGCTGGAAAGAGTAGAAATTGGCCAAGATATTAGGGATTAAGTCCGCTAAAGGAATGCATTTGTTGTTCTAATTGTTTCCAACCACCTCCGTTCAGTTTTTTTTTCTTTTTCTTTTTTGAGAATGTCTTTATGTTCATCTATAACCACGGACAAAGTGACACACTGAGAGTGAAACGCGCGCACCACTAAAAAGACTTGAAAAAAAGACTGCAGGATAAAAACTGCATAATGTAACCCACATCTGTTTGGACTTTACATTGTGAAAGACAGCGTGTCGCTCTGTGAAGGCCGAGTATAATGTTCTCTACATGAAGATAGATGGCTCTTTACGGCTTGTAAACAATATATATTTGCCCCGTCTAAACATCACGATTGTCGATGTCTCAGAGTTGTGATAGTCAGTCCTGACACCTGCTCGGTCCAGGCGCCACCTTCAGCTGAACCGCACACACCGCCGAGACACCGTGCGTGGTCTGACATGTCGACACAGGTTCACCCTGCACTTGTCTGGTGACTTCCTTATTGAAGTCCAATATGAACTGTACAAATTGTCAGAAACATAATGACGGTACTGGCAGTCTTGTCGGCTGGTGGCATTTACGTTTGTCGGACTGTATATATATATTCAAGAATTGTCAACTAAGTAAAGATCTTTGTTCACAAACGCTTCAACATAAGGTTGAAAATAGCGGTGTAACGTTACATGTATATCTTTGAACAAAGAACTTTATTTTTGGCTGCATATCGGTCGACGTATGTGTACCTACCTGAGTGGATGTGTTTGATATAGAGAAGAAGGAGAGACGCTGAACTGATGACGAGAGCTGAATGTGGGCGTGAGGAGGCTGTAATGATTACAATTCTCATGAAAACTGCAAGAAGAATTGTTGCCTTTACCTCTAATTTCTGAAAATTGTATGACGACTGGTCAAGATCTCTTCGAAGGCATGAAATTAGCTGTGTGCACACAGGCAATATGACTCCATGAAACTGGTAAGCATTTTGTTACTATTTCGGGTAATTCTAGATCTGCTAAGATCGTTTCTTGTTTCCGAGGTTTGAAAAGAAGCGGCTTCAATATTCTAACCGGTTTCTTCTGAAATCTACCGCGTAGGACGTGCGGCAGTGTGCACGAACGCCGCGAAAAAAAAGTTTCATCGCAACGTTAACGCGGAGTTTAACGGACGTTTGAAAAGGTAGGCTAGGAGTGGCATGGTAAGCTCCTATACCATAGCCGGAGTGTCAGCCTTTTTAGCCTTCGTCCGCTCCCCACGATCCGCTACTGGCCGCTCAGGCTACCTATACCACCCACACTTCACAATGAGTTCACTGGGATCTACGTAACTTCAGGCGCCACACATCCTCAGGCTGTTTGACTTACGGCTGCGAGCAAAGGCCTAAACTTAAAGCGGACATGTTACAGTGCTTTTGCAAAAGAGAAACCCCGATAAAAAAAAGCCTAAAAACACGCTAAAAATACCCCCAAAACCCAAACCTCTGCTTGGAGAGTACTTTTGTACGGCATTCGTTGGTTTTCTGGCAATTCAATCACTTGGGAAGAATTCCTTGAGGGAAAAACAAGGCCATGTACAAATATTGAAATGTTGCGTAAGGCAACCCACGCCCCCAATATGCAAACTGGCAAGGCCAGCTAACCCTACAAAATGTCGTCAGTACAAGTGCACATTGCACAAGGTATTGAGCGACATGTTACATTGAAGTTTAAATTCTTGTCACATATTGTGAAAGCCAACTGCTCACATCCAAGTCAATAAAAGAACAGTCGGTATCGATTGTCCGCCGCTACAAAAAAAAAAAAACTTAGAAAAGAAACGTTTTCATCTACCGTTTGTCTCATCAATGAAAATCTACGCTGCACGACAGGACAGTTATTGAATTAACGTGGATAATATTCCTTGCATCTCTGTACATATATCAAATAACTATGTATGTTATAATAAAACTTAACTGAAAGTAGTTAAGTAATGTTACACCAAGATCTAAAGTCATCAACACATTACCGCATTAGGGACGAACGTACACCAACTGTTTAAGCAAAATTCATCGTTAACACAACGATGGGCAAGTTGCCATACACGATATTAAGTAAAGGTTATTGTCACTTCAGCACAGCTATACACGTCTGGGATTCCGAGAACCACATTCATTGCAGCTGCACCTTTTATATAGGTTGTTGGAAAACTAGTAGATGTCGGTCAGAGGTAGTTGGCTATAGATTTACCGGCCAAGTCCTCTGATAAAATTTTTGCACATTTCTAAAATTTGATCAGTCCTTCAGGAGCTCTGATACACATGCATGAAGAGATAATGCTGGCACTGATTCTACCAAGGAGGCTTAAATAATCATCACCATGTAGGCTTGCCCGGTCGGTCGTCACGTAGATATTTAAACCTCCCGTTAGTTAATTCTACTTAGAAGTCAAACTTCTACCTATAGCCCATTCGTGTATGGAGCTGACATGCATGCAACCCTGATGAGTTGTATTTGAGTGCATTTGACCTACCTGTACTTCATTCTGATCTTCTTGGCGTTGACTCAGATGGAAACTCTAGTGCTGTAAAACCTTGAGTTCTGTGAGAAGCTTCCCGCTTGCTGGCTAGCCCTGCCCTGACACCACTGAAGTCTGCACAAGCGTCAGGGAAATTGGCTTTTATATGCACACTATAGCGGCCTCGGGGGTATAGATCAATCTATAGGACTCACTAAAGTTTATCTTAATGAAATCACTCAGATAACTAAATCCTTATCAATAGCGCATACACAGGCAGGTTATCAGTATGATGAAAAGTGCGAAGTTGCGGCTCGCCTGAAGCGATGACAGTTTTTATGTGCCACAAAATTAAACGGCCAATGATGACAGCGTTTCTCTGTAACTTTCCAGCCAGGCTGATTCGTTTGTGTCTATCTAGGGAGGGGGTTGCGCATTTCTGACACCTGGCTGGGATGAAATGAAAATTATCGGACAAGGCATCTAAGAAAAAACAACTAATTTACAAATGTATTTCATTTGTGGGGAAATTGACATGGGCGGGTTTAAACGAGCGAGTGAAATGAAAATTAAAACGGCGAGAAAATGAGAAGAGGGAACAAGTATTGGGTCCTGAATTCTATTTATTACTTTTTCGTACCCCTAAACTTGTGAAGTGAAACAGCCCTAACAAAAAAGGGAAAGTGTCGTGTGCACTTGTTGCACACGGCATTCTTCCAAATTGCTGCATTGTGGTTTTGCGTCACTGTAAATAATGACACAGTAACAGCCGTGGTGAACCGTGACTACGTATATAGATATATCACGTCAACAAAGTCAATTTATCTCACAGGAAAATATGTCACAACAAAGTTCTTTCTTTCTTGTAGTGATACAAGGCAGGGACCAGAATATACAAAGCCAACAATGTCACATTGTATAAGGTTTTATCTTGCATACTCCTGTAACAACGCACCTGCATGGTCCACAAACGGCTGGGTCCAGCGGTCTTGGGTTCGATTCCCAATCCTTGACCTTTTAGTTGAGATATCTTAGGTTTCCTTCTTGCCTACCTCGAAGTCAGGGAAGCTATGATGTCAATCTTTAGACAAGTCAACAACAAAAAACGCTACCCCTGATGTGATCTGATCTGAAGGAACGATAAAACGTCTTATTCAGTGCCTTAGCAACCGATATGTTCCAATGACATGTCTTTTCTTTGAACTGCCACTTGCAGGCAGCGCGAGAAAACGGTGACTGGAGATCTTTACCGAAGAAGTCATCCGCAGGTCGCACCTGATTCGATTCTGCTTGACGAATATGACGCTTCCGTGAGGACAAGTAGATGAATCTTTACAGAAGAGAGGGCGTAAAGCTGTAACGGGGCTGGAGGAATGCTATGTAGCAGAGCTGTCTCAATATGTTTGGGCACGGTTCTGTTAACATCAGTTATAATTAGCTAAGAAAATACTGAGTGTCAGACGGGAGATGTTCTGGAACCATCACAGCCACAGTTGGCGGGAAATGTCAGCAAGGTAACTATTTGACGACAGTGTGTTCAAGGGAATGCTTCTGTATACCTTTACTCCTCAGAGGAAATAGTTTTGTCATGCTTTTCTATTGTCTGTTAAACTTAAAGCAAACACAGAATAATAGTAACTGTATATATATATGTACACGGCATTTTCGTGATAATACGCGAAACAAAGCTTTAACAGGAGGTTTAATCCAAAAGGACATTGCTGAATGAGCGGCAACTCGCTGTATGAGTGTTGGGGTGGGAGGTGGTGCTTCACTTTGGAAGTGGAAAACACTGAGAAGCAATTTGTTGCTATTGACAGGGCCAGGCCTTCTCGATGATTTGACATCTCAATTCCATCATTGGCCTCGCATTTTTAGAAAGGCGGTGATTTACACGCAAAAGCTAAATTTAATTTAATTTAATTTAATTTGATTGCATTTAACTTATTAAACTGTATAAATAGATATACAGCCAGGGCTTTCCAACTAGCCGGAGGCTATTATAAAGAGCTAGCCCTTATAACTGGACAATAAACAGGTCACCATCAGGCAAGTGACTTGAGCTTGGATGCAGTTGAAGGGGGCACACACCACCATTCCACCGGACACTCTACCCACGTCACTTATCCCAGACATAACTATACAAGACCCGGTCAAACAAAAACTGACTCTTGTAGAACTTACTGTACCTTTTGAACAAAATGCCCGTGATGCAGAGGGCAGAAAAAGGGCAAAGTACGAAGACTTGCACAACTTATCATGACGCAAGTAAAGACACTGTGGTAAAGGAATTTAATACTGTTGAGTGTTGGGGACAAGCTGTCGTCTCAGATACAAACATTAGACTCCAAAGTTGACGGCCTTACCACCGACATGGCGGCGCTGCGGGAACGGGTGCGAGAGCTGGAGAACACCGTGGAGTTCCAGGACAGCGGCTCAACGACTGGCTGAAGAACGACGAGGGAGGATCAGTGCGGGCCTTCTTGTCGAGAGATACTCGATGAATTCGAAGGCGGATATAGCGTGGTGGTTCAAAATTGTCTTGCTCAACAGAGATGATCTCAATGTGTTTTGACCAGGACAGGCCTATGATATTCGTGAAAGTGACGCCTAAGTGGTTGTGGCTGGTGACAACTTGCAGTACAGTTCCTCAGGGGCGGGAGAGCCATTTGAGGTAACACTTGGTACGCTTGGTACTAGTTCACCGTCAATACCCGGGTGGTAGCGGAACGGACAATGATAAGAAACGAAGAAATAAAAAAAGGGAAGGGTTTAATCCCCTAATCCGTCTCAAATTCTCTTCCCAAATTGATCGATGTTCTTCTTCTTTCAGTTGAGGCGACCACGTGCACCTTCAACATTTTTTGATATTCTGTCGCCTATAGGCTATAGTTGAAACTGCATGCTGGGAGTGGGTGTTCATGTAGCCTGTAAGGGGTGGTGTTAGTTGTCTCGTATTTTGCGCTCAGTAAGAAGGTAAGGGCAGGGTCAGGATTTTGGCTTTGAAGCTGTTCAAGTGGGGGAGAGGATAACCTCTGTAGGCAAACAGTTCCAGTCCGGGATCGTCCTTGGAAAGAAGGACTGTTGACAGTCTGTACTCTGTCCGGCAGGAAGGAACCCTGTAGGTTGCTGGGTGGGTCTGTCTTGTGCTTCTTGTATGCTTTGCAAGCATCGGCTACATAGCCTGACAGCCTTGTTACCTCCGGGTAGGGATGTATATCCCGAGCGCGGAGGTTTTGTGAGGGAAGACGAAAATTGCGTTCGCAGCCGTTTCTCGCGTTTGGGTGGACGGATATGTCTGGGACTTGGTATACGTTTTGCTGTTGGGCTGTAGATGGTGCACGTTGTTTTGGTTTTTTAGTATGTGTGTTTTAGTGCGTGAAAATGATGCGTTTAGACCGCCGATGGACACCCCTTTCAGTGTGAAAGTGGACCTCAGCTTTTGACCTTTGCATGTATAATCACCATTGAGGTCGCGACCACTGATCTGACCTTTCACACAGAGGGGTGTCAGCATTCTTTGAAACTGTTCAGATGTGAACCACATGTGCCGTCAATCAACGTCTCATTATCGTGCCTGGTGGGATCGCGCGGGTCGCAGCCAGGGTCGCAGCCAGCCAACTTCCGGGTGGGCCAATGGGTCAGGGGTCAACGCCCTCTTGCGCAATTTCGGATGTTTTCGGCTTACAAATACCGTGGTATACTGTCTCAGACGTTCTCGGGACTCGGTGTATCTTCTGTTAATGGGCTGTAGATGGTGCAGGTTTTTTTTGTTTTATTGTATATGTGTTTTGGGGCGTAAGATTATTTGTATTTCCTTTTCGTGTCTCGGACACCCGTTACTGTGTTTGTTTACATTATCGCTGGTCGCTGAGGGTCGGGCAGCCAGATTCGCCACGGGATGCCTCCTGTCCTTTCTATTTTTGGGCTCCAGTCGGCTAGGGGGGATTAGTGATTTCACACATCATTTAGCCAATTACAAACATTTCGAAACTTTTCGAAAAAAATGGTATTCGCGCGAATTCACTAGTTAATTCAAAGAACAGTCCCAACATGCACCCAACATTCTGCAACATATATACATTACAATACCCGGAGGTACAAAATCTACGATTTTCCTTGTTACTAATGTTAGATCATGTTAGCTTTCGTCCGCTCCCCAAGATCCGCGGCCTGAAGCGACTCTTAGCGAATAATAGAAGCAGTGCAGATTGAGCAGTGTATCCGCTAGAGGTCGCTTCCGAGGCTAATGACCATACTTGATCGCTATCAGAGATGCCGTGTCAGTGAGACGAAGTGTTGCTACATTTCTGTGCCATTTTGGACGCTTTCCTGCACGAATTTCCACCAGGTAAGCCTTTTGGCTGATTGCTATTGAAACGAAGGGGCATTTGCTACCCCAAGGTGACCTTTTCTGAGGTAAACAGTAGTAATTTAGCTAATTTTGTTGGTGTTGACAACGCCAAGCTTGCGCCGCTAGGTGATTTTCTAAAATTTCCGCTGTTGACCGCAGAAAATGATGTAGAGAAGGGCGGAGACAACCGGGTTCACTCCGCTGTGAGCAATCAGAAGGCTGCAAAGAAACCCGCGCACGTCTTTCTCTCCTACATGAGCCTTAAAAATGCCTGCAAGTTGCTAATTTTGTAATCTCTTTGTATTTTGCCATTTCCTGTTTTGGTGTGTGTGTGTGTGTGTGGGGGGGGGTTATACTGGGTCTGTATTAGCCGTGGACGACTCTGTAACCCTTTTTGCATGATAATGCCGGGTACCCGGCATTATCATGCAAAAAGGGTTACAGAGTCGTTCACGGCTAGGTCTGTATAAAATATTCCGAAAGAATGTTAACCTTACCAGTTTTTTCAACACCGTAACTTTTAGATAACGGTTAACGTTATCAAAGTTTACGTCTAACGTTATATCCAGGAGTATTAATGTTCTATTATTACTCTATTTGTATTTTCTTTTGTCCTACATGTAACGTTACATAAATTAATTCTTTAGGCTCAGGGCTTGAAATTCATTTTTCGGAATAAGTGCACACCCAACCTAAAAAAATTAGATGCACAAAAACTTATTTCGGTGCACCATATAAAATTAATTAAGTAGAATGTCAGCAAAAACTAATCATATTTCATTCCTTCATTAAGCAAAAGTAGTACACGTTACACATCTTGAAATACTTAATTAAACCTACAACAAATTTTGGGTGCACTGGTGCATCCACAGAAAAAATAAAGGTGCACAGCTCCAAATTTGAGTGCACTAAGGCACACATGCACCCTGTATTTCGAGCCCTGACACTACTTATTATAATTTATAATATCTAACGTTAAGTACCATGGTCACAACATTGAGGGTCATCGATCAGAAACAGTGAAAAGTTAGGGGTCATGGGTTTGAATCCCCCAAAACCTGGGTCAGTTTGCCTGTGTCTGGCTTGGGTTGAATTACCACCAAGGTATGTACTATGATAAAGTCTTTTAGAAGTAACCTTGCAGTGTTACATCTAACATGTTCTAAAATGTAATTATGCTGAAGTATATATGCCCACTGTCCAGACTGTCCTATCCTTACATAGAGTGACATCCTCACCTAGACAAAATGCAGAAATGTTTTCCTTGTCATTTGATCATCCCCATCTGTGGTTATCAATATCCATAAAAGCTTTGGTAGATGTAAACACAAAGAATTCCTCAGGGTTTTTGGTCTCATCAGTGTTGTTGATACAATTTACACAAATGCACACACACACTTAACAGGGGGTGCCCTAATTCTGACCCATCCCTAATACCGAACTAGTTTGAAAAATCCTTGTTGCGGCGTTATGCATGGGAGCACGTGCCTAAAAATAATCACAAGAATGGACTATGTTTTTGTGTTGATATCGGCAATCTCACAAAGTTTGTTTTAGTTCCTACACTCTGACAACAGACGAGTGAAAAATCTGTGTGAATTCGACGCTTGTTCGGGGGTTGACGAGCGTGTCAAAAATGCAGTTTTGCTTTTCAAACAGCCACTTTGGAGCAAGTCGCGTAATCGTAAAAAGAAGACTTGTTTGGGACAGAAAACATTTGTAGATTGTTTTAGTAATAATATGTGTATTATTATTTCTAAACCCTCTTCTCAGATCGACCTGTGTTAAACACTAGGTCGGAATTAGGGAACCCCTGTTGCGCTAGAACGTTCCACCGGCAAAATGACCAAAAAACTGCCGTGCGTTTCGTGAACCATTACGATTGGGTGCAAGCCGCTACACTCAAGTGAAATACACAGCTGTGTAGCTTTAATCGTTGTGATCTTTATCTGCCAATATTATATCTCATGTTGCGCGAGTTTTTGGTCAGATAATCTATTACCAAAGGTCTGTGCGTTTGCATGGAACATACCACGGAATTAGGGCACCCCCCGTTAATGATTACTAGTTAATTAGGGAATCTGTGGATTTTACAGTTTAACATTGTGATGGCATTAAATTACATTCATATGTGCCAGGGCTTTAGAGAGCTGAACTGCTGATATATTCAGGACAAATCATCATTAAAACATGTTACATGTGTCGATTGAATCATTGAACAGGGATGAAGCCTGGAATTCTCAAGACATTTGATTCTATATTTTAATCATGTAAATTTTGCAAGAACGGTCCTCCCAAATAGTGGGTTTTGCAAGAATGGTTGCTCACGAATACTGTAATGTGCACAATGATGGCAGACATTTCTGTGTACGCCGGCGGTGCATGCACGTTAATTTCAGCCGACACACGCTGCACCAACCATGTAATGATGGCGTAATAACAGATGCCGGAGTACGGATTGATGAGGGAAAGACGACGCAGCCGTGAAACCCCCCACCCAAACCGCTCGTTACCTACGTACCCTACCAGCTGCCGACATGTATCAAAATGTCATTGGCAGTTACGACTCTGTCCCCGAAAACTGGCCAGTCGCGTCAGGGTGCCAAGGATAAGGTTGTCCGGGGAAGTGACGTAGAACATGGTGTGGAAATGCTAATTTATGATACCAGGCATGTATTGAGTTTACACTGACAGCGTGCAAAATACCTGGTTGCCCAGTTGCCCAGGGCAACTAAATTTTATTTGGGGCAACCTATTTTTGAACCTAGATAGCCCAGTGTGCTACCTGAATTTTTAAGAATCCCCTCACCCACAAATCATTCCCACTTGGCTTGCACCACTGTATCTGGCAGATGCTTTTTAATTTTAGTGAATCCCTATAACTACATACCCTTTTTTTCTGCACCATAACAGGAAACACAACATTTATTTTCCTAGGCCTAGTAACTTATAGGTGGGGCAACCTAAAGTTCTAATGGGCAACCTAATTTTTGTCATAAGTATTTTGTACACTGACTGAACATTTTACAATTTTAGAAATGAGAGAGAACTGAAGTTGTACTGAATGTCGGTAGTTAGCAACATGATAAAATTCCTATTAT